GTCATGATCATAATATTTATTTTTCACATTAGATAAACTCTTCTGGAGACTTGGAAGAAAGATTCCCCCTGCTGCCATCTCTTTTTAACCTGAAATTTTTGTTTCTGGGACACGTGGATTTTGGGAATGAGCAAAACTTCCCAAACCAACATATTTTCCCATTCTATTTGCTTCTGCATACCCTAAACTAGTATTTCATTTAAAGAACTATCTTAGATTAGGCTGGCCTCTCAGCAAATGGTCCAGAGGGTCCACTCATGCAAGGTGTGGCCCTCTTCCTTCCAAACTGAATCTCAAAGCCAGGCCAATCCCATGCCCAGGAGATTTTAACTTCTACCTTTCTCAATCTCCAATGCTTCAAGTTCTTAGTCTTCAAGCTACTTATCCTCTGGTTGTTCAAAACCCTCAGCCCCTCCCCATTACTTATGTCCTTCTTAATTACTAGTCTCTTTCATCAGTAAAATTGATGCTCTTTACTTACCATCACGTTATTTCGAGGTTTTCCTTATTTTTTTTTTTTTCCTTTCCTTTAGTAAAGGACTCTGATATGCCAGTCCTACCCTAATGGACCACAACACACTGTACACCTGTCAAGAGCTTTGAGGAGCCATCTAAGGAAGGCAAGTCTTGGTGGGAAAACCAGTCCTGCCCTTGGGGCCTGGAATATGATAAACTGTCCTCTCCTGACCTCGACAGCTCTGTTAGGCCAGCCACTGCCTCTGGCTCAATTCCCCATCATGTCCCTGGTACCGGGTGCACAGTGAGAGCTCAATAAATAGATGGATGAATGGCCTTATTTTCTAATACACCAGCACATGCGAAAACATCAGCAGAGACTGAAACGAGCATGGTAGGTAAAACAGAATATGAGAATGTTCTCAGTGCATCTGAGAACAAGTGACTAAAAAATCAGTGACAGAGCACCTGGGTGGCTCAGTGGGTTAAGCCTCTGCCTTCAGCTGGGGTGGTGATCTCAGTCCCACATCGGGCTCCCTGCTGAGTGGAGAGCCCACTTCCCCCCCGCCTCTGCCTGCCTCTCTGCCTACTTGTGATCTCTCTCTGTGTGTCAAATAAATAAATAAAATCTTAAAAAAAAATCAGTGACATCTAGGATTGATATACTTCCTAGTTTCTGGAGGGCTTCAAGTCTCCCACAAGATTTGTACCAACAAGCGTGTCTGAAGGACAAAGAAAGCCTCACCAGGTTTCTGTGAGGATTCCAGAGATCATGTATGTAAAGCTGCTACTACAATGCCCAAATTGCATCAAGAGCTTCAGAAACAGCGGAGAGGCCCCCTTCTTTGCTAGTGACATGACAGGTTCAGGTCCAGAACCCAGGGTTTGCATTTCCTAGCCTGTGACAGCATCCTCAGTGTTCTTCCCACGCCATCCTCAGACTGATGGGAACACCTTGAAGGCAGCAGGCATGACACCTTAAGAAGATCACTGATACTCCTCTGCCCCCATCTTGCTGGGGAAAGAGATGGGAGGCACTGTATCCCGTGATTATGGCAATCAGCGCTAAATGGCTGGAAGTCAAGCCTGGGAACCATGCAAACGTTATGGGCAGTGTACCTTCTGGTGATTGCCACAAGGTCCTCATGGTGATTACTTTCTGGCAGCTCTTCCACCAAATACATAACAAATAACGTGAGGCTCCTAAGCTCCAATGACTGAAGCGGGAGCCCTCATATAACTGAGATCTGTTGTTCAGAGGGACCATAATTATTGTTCAGACTTCTCTCCCCAATAACAAGTGCATCACTGAGCTGCCATCAGACATTGTGCCGATGATAAATGTAACACCTGAGTCCCCTCTGGTTGAGGGGACCTGAATCAATGCATCATTCTGAGATGCAGTCCAGGTTGGTTTTTTGTTTTTGTTTTTGTTTTTTTTGGTCTGGCCTGACCTTTTTCTGGATTTTTGAGAAGACCTGAAATAGTTTAAGTAGCATCCTTTTCCCCTGCCCCCCCGCTCCAAGGGCTGCACTTAGTTTACCATTTTTCTCCACCCTTTCTCTTGTGCCATCCTCCTGAGGATGTGACTGGGCCACACATTAGCCTTCCAGGTAGGTGACAGAGATCCCACGCACGGTAAATGATCCACTGGGCTCCTCCGCTTGTGCATTGGGTGGCCTGGGGCAAGGCACTCAGACTCACTGAGGTTTAGTTTCCTTGACTGTAAAATGAAAAGATAAACCTGCTTCATCGACCTTTCCTGAGTATTCAGCGAATTCAAATATGAATTGTCCCTACCCAAGATTGACAAAGTAGCTTTCCTCATGGTGGTAAGGACACTAACATGGTAGAATGTTTGTTACATTTTATCAATTTCTTCCATCTGATTGCACTGACATTATGTGTCCTTCTACTTTCCAAATAGGCTCTAATGGTCTATTCATTTCCCGGAGATGTCACATTTATATAGAAATCCCTCACTATCTTTGCCACTTTGTGTTCTCGTCACCCAGCCTTCTTCCACTCTAACTGAATGCTTAGTGCCCTATCCTGCCTCACATTCCCTGGTCTCTCCATCTGGAAAGCTCTTTTCACTCCTGCCTCCTCCCTGGGACTGCTTCCCTTTCATTCACGAACACATTTATTGCCCCACATGTTGGGGATGTAGCAGTGAACCCAACAGTCCCTGCTGTTGTGGAGCTGGCATTCTACAGGGAGGGAAGAGCAGGTAATTAGTAAATAAATCTCTCATATGCCAGGGCCTGGTAGAGTTATAACAAAGAGTAGAACAGAATAAGGGGATGCTAGGATTTAGGTTTAGCTGGGAAGGGTTCTCTGAGGAAAGGACCATTTGAACATAGTCCTGAAGGACATATGGCAGGAATCTCACAGAAAGTCTGGGAGAAAGTATTCCAGGAAGAAGGAAGAGCAAGTGCAAAGGCCCGGAGGCAGAGAAGGGCTAAAATATCCCTTCCCGAGAGAGCATTCCCCTTGACACCCCATTTTAAATAATGTTCTCTTTCTCAGGGCACACCATTCTTTTTGGAGTATTTAATCTTCATTTATGTTTTATATCTTAGTGTATGTAATTTAATTAGTCTCCCCCTCTGAATTCAAGCTCCATGAAGGCAGGCATCATATCTGTTCCCATTTTCCCTTATTTGTGTATCCAGAATTCACCCTCTGGTCTGGTATTTATATAGTTACTGGATGAATCGATCAATTTCAAATGGTCATTAATGGCAATGTGTAGTAATTTTGCCTTGTGTGAGAATTTCCTTTTAGAAATCAGTATATAGGGTGGGGCAAGGGGAATCTCCCCTAAGGAACTGACACACTTCCTTCTTGCAGCTAATGAGCACAAACTGAGTATAATACATCCATTTCTGCTTTGCATGGCAAGGATCTTACACTCAGTAAAGATAATTCATTAAGATTTGAGGTTGGCACCTTCTCCTGTGTTTTTTTCTTAATGATGAGATTGTGCTTGTATTCTTTTATTCATTGGATTCCTCTTTTGTGTAATTTAATTAAGATATGAATAAAAAAGGAGCAATAATTAGGTAAAGAAGGAAGAACAGAAGAGGGGAGAGAAGGAGAGAAAAGAAAATAGATTCCTCTTTAAGACATATCTTGTCACTGCTTTGCGTGTTGAAATTAGAAACATAGCTAGCTTGTGCTTTAAATGTTATGACAGCTGCCTGTGACAATTGCTTGACATTATCAGGACCAATGCTAAGTATTTTTACATGTATGTAAAATTAAATTTTAAAATCTCGTTAAATTCCCAGTAGGCTATAGAGTAGATATCAATAGCCCCATCTTACAGATAAGTAAGGGTCATAGAAGTTAAGTAACTTGGCCTGAAAACAGAAGAAAGTAGAAATGAGTGCCTTCCAATGGCTTGGACAGAGCTGTCAAAATTAAATGTGAGTTGTTTTGTTCTGCCTCTCCTCAAGCTTCTATTCAGCCTCACCTCACTAAAAAGAGGTGTGCCCCTCCAACAGAGATCATAACCTCACTCCAAGGAACAGGGGTGGGGTGGGGGGGCGGGGGGGCGGTGGAGAGTCCTTTACAAACATCGATTATCCTCTTAACTGGAAAGGCTCCTGAATGCAGGTACATCCAATGGTCTTTATTTCTGAAGCCTTTTTTTTTTTTTCTTTTAATAGCAAAAGAATGCATGACACTGTAAACTGTCAAGTTGGGTGCTGGGAAGCCACTCAGACCTGCACTAAGAAAGGTGATAATGAATTCAGTGTTGCCAATTCTGAGGGAACTGAGAGAAAACACCTAGAGGTTCCCATTAGTCCCAGTAGTAACCAGATCCCTCCTTGCTTTCAAGGTGCAGCCCCTATTTCTCGGTGCTGCTCCCAGCTCTGGGGCTCTGGAACATCGTGTCAGTCCATGGGACGCAGAAAACTGGGGCTTTGGGCCCAGGAGAGAGGGGCGGCTTCTATGCACACACACATCCATTCACACACCACACGTGGTCACAAAGCACAGACGGCACACACGCTCAGCGCCCGCACAAACATCGACCTCACCCACCCACTTATATCAACACCACAACACAGGCGCACGCACCTCACACACCTCGCCCACTCGTGCACTCATACCACACACTGGCGCGCAACGCCCAAGCTAGCACACGCTCGCGCACCGGCTCACACCCCGGGCACACACCCTCTTGCGCGCGCCCAAGCCCTTCCTCGCCTGCGCACACCCGCGCGCACCCGCTCACGCCCCACGCACACACCCTCTTGCGCGCGCCCAAGCCCTTGCTCGCCTGCGCACACCCGCGCGCACCCGCTCACGCCCCGCGCACACACCCTCTTGCGCGCGCCCGCGGTCTCGCTCACCGGCACGCGCGCGCGCACAGGCCCTAGTTCACGGGCGCACCCCGCGCGCGCACACACACGCTCCCACCGCCGAGCGGCGAGGGGCGGGGCGGGGCGGGAGCGGCCGCCAGTGGCCGGCCGGGCGCGGCCAGGAGAGGGCGCGGCGCGGCGCGGGGGAGTAAGGCCCGCGCCAGAGTTGTTTCCCGGAGCCCGGGCCGCGAGAGGCTCCGCGGGAGCCCGGCCAGCAGCTCGAGCTGGGCTAGGCGGGGCTGGGCGGGGCGGCCCGCAGGGAGCACGCCCCGGGTCACGCCGGCGCCCGCGAGCCGAGCGCGGCGGGGAACGCGCCATGGACCCCAAAGCGGGCGGTGGCGAGGAGGATGACTGCGTGGACTCGGGCGCCGAGACCGGAGGGTGAGCCGCGCCGGGCCGGGCCGTGGGCGGGGGGCGCTCTCCGAGTTGCGCTGCGGCGGGTCCCCGGCCGGGACCTTTTCCGACCCCGCGGCGGAGCCGGAGCCGCTGCCGCCCGGATGGGGCCGCGGGGGCTCCCCCACCTGCCTGGTCCCGGGTGGAAGGTAGAGGGGCTGTGGCGGGCCGGCTGTCTCCTGGGCAGGCTCCGAGGGCAGAGCCCCGTGGTCCGTAGTTACCCCGGGTGGGGCGGGACCCATCCCCGGGGGAGGGGGGAGGGAGAAAAGTGGAAGGACTCAGGGTTCGGAGTAAACCTCGCGCACACCACCACACACCACCCCTTCTTGCCCCCGTTATCACTGAGATGATGTGGAATACCAGGCGAATGCAATGTCCCCCCGAGATCATCGCTAGAGAAACAGATGCTCTTGCACTTGTTTCAGCCTTCCGCGAGGACTTTATTCCTCTAGCCCCGCCGCTCCCGGAGTCTGGGATGAGGGATTGGGGATGAGAAGAGGATAGGACACCTGGCACCTAAAAGTCTTTCAGAAATCATATAAGAGGATGACATTTTTCATTTCATGGCTTTATTGTGCTTGCTGAGACTCCCTCCGCAACTCCTGTTTTCCCCGCCAAACTTCTCTGCCCACCTGTCCCAGCCTTGGGTACAGGTGGGATGAAGTTGGTGCTGTGATGTAGCCCTGCTTAAAGAAATGTGCTCATCGCTTCAACGGACTCAAACAATTGGCCCAAACCTTTACCTCTGGAGACTAATTAGCCTTCTCCCAACGACACCATTTTCCTGAGTGGGACAAAAGATGGAGTATCTTTTAGGAGATGAATGTCATTGTAAATGCTTCCACCCAGCTCCTATCTCTAGAGGATTTTCCTGTGCGGAGTCAGCAAGCATCCAGGATGCCGGTACTGATCCGGGAGGAAAGGGTGTCCTTTCCTCTCTGGAGAACCCTGGAGATGGGCTGGAGCTGCCCAGATTACAGAAACCCTCTTCCATGGAACATTGGGGAGATTTAGACTAATCTCGGGGGTTGGCAGCCTGGAGAAGACAGGATGGGGGCCCAAGGCTAGAGCGGGCACAAGGGGCTGCCCTCTGAGTGACACAGTCACTCCTGCCTGCCCAGGCTCACCCTTCCTTGCAGCCTCCCCCCATTCCTAGCCCAAATCTGGCACTTTTACACCCTACAGCAAGTACTCTGCAATGGGCTTTCGCTGTTATCCAAATTTGAGATTACTTACGGTTCCCTATAGAACCCAATTACATTCTGGAGCAGTAACCTGATTCCAAATACAGAACTCCCTTGTTTTCTCCCCACACTTGGTGTATGTGGCATTTATCAACTGTAATTGAAGATCCTTGACACCCCCCCCCCCAGTTAGCTAGCTAGACCATGAATAGAAGAAACAAAGTGAAATTAACCGGCTCATTTTCAGCTGCATAAAATAAGGCTCCAACTGGTCCATTCATTTTCAATTTGCAGAGCTCACCTAAAACAGGTATTTTTCCCAAGGCTTCTCTCTTGGAAAAGTGGAGGAGAAGCCCTGACCCAGGAGCAATTGTACCCTTGGATCCCAGTGAAAAAGCATGACAGCTGCCAGGGTTGCTGGGAGGGGCTTGCTGAACATACTGACACCAGAGCTTCTCTTCACTGCCTCTGCCCTAAAGTGTATTGTTGTGACAGAATAGAATTGTTTAAAGACTCTGTATTACCTCAGTAGCATCCTTGAGCTAAAGATGAAGGTAAAATGGTACGTGCTTAAGAAGTTTCAGTATATAGTTCCTGATCTTGTATTTGCCACCTATCTGTGTATCTCGTGCACTTTGGTTTGGTTATCAAAAAGCTGTTCATAATTTCCTGGCTTTTCCAAAACTCACCCCCAGCTTTCATGTAGCTGCCTGGGGAGACTTTACACATGTGTGCTATCACTATTATTTTCAAAATACAAATCTGATCATGCTTCTCTCCCAAACCTTTAGTGGCTCTGTCATCTCTAATGTACAAAGAGCTTAGTGTGGCCTACAAGTCCCAATGTGATAGGGTCCCCTTCTGTCTCTCTGGCTTTGTGTCTCAGCACCCCACCCTTGTATCCTGCCTCAAGCCACCTCAGCAAGGTGTTTCTGATTCTGCTTTTGTCAAACTGCCCTTTTCCCCAGCTCTGCCCTTCTCCACCTGGCATGCCTGCCCACCAGGTGAAACTATCTTCTTTTAAGACTCGGCTCAGGTGACCCATCGGCTAAGGCAGGGGTCCTCAACTTGAGGCCCATGAATGGCTTGAAGTCACATTCAAAATGACATTCTTTGTGAATTTTGGGAAGAAGACTTACTTTTCACCAGATTCTCGAAGTAGTCTGTGAGTCCCCTCGCCACCACATTTGGGCAGGGTAGGAGAAGTTTCATTTTCAACGTGTTGTATCCGAGGTATTGAGAGAGAGCCAAGCAAGGATGATGAGCCAGTGGTTGAGTCTATCTAGAGAGATGGTCAGAGAGGATATGGGTGTGACGACAGTGTGCCTGGGAATGGTCAGCCAAAAAATGGCCATTCCAGTCCTAGGAGTAGATGAGATCAACTAAAGATAGTAAAGATAGTAAACACCCGGCATCTTACTCTGTGCTGGGGACTGAGCCGTTAATATTTTGTTAACACATTTGATTTTTCAACGACTGCAAAGCAGATACTGTTTAAGACCGGCCTTGAGAAATGACAACACTTAAAGGCCAGGTGGAGTTGGAGGAGCTGAGAAAGGGGCCTGAGAAAAAGGAGACACCGACAAGAGGAAGGATTAGGTGTCCTAATGGGAAGCCAATGGGAAGAAGGGAAAGGCATCGGCTGTGCTGTGCGGTTGAGAAACTCACTAAGCTTAAGGAATGTGAAGTGCCTTTTTTGCAAATGCAGGTAATGAAGGAAAAGGTGGATCCGTGGACAGTGGCAGGTGGAGGCAGAAGCCAGGTCCACCTGGCTCCAGGAAGGAGTGGACTGTGTGGAAGAGAAGGTAGACAGAGCCCTTTGTCTGAGAATGGGAGGGTAAGGAGAGGCGGTAGCTGGAAGGGAGAGTGGGATGCGGGAAGGATTCCCAAAGCATAGGCAATAATTAGGCTCCTGTAAAGAGATGCTTATAGAAAAGAATCTATAAAAAGGGGCATAGATATGGGTGCCTGGGTGGCTCAGTGGGTTAAAGCCTCTGCCTTTGGCTCAGGTCATGATCCCAGGGTCCTGGAATTGAGGTCCGCATCTGGCTCTCTGCTCAGCAGGGAGCCTGCTTCCTCCTCTCTCTCTCTTCCTGTCTCTTTGCATACTTGTGATCTCCGTCTGTCAAATAAATAAATAAAATCTTTTTAAAAGGGGGGGCACAGATAAAGATATAGGAGAAAAACTGATGGTTTGTAATGTCCACTTTCTGAAAGGGTGAAGGCAGATGGACTTCAGACCTCTCAGCTCAATGGGCTTTGGGTAGAAGGAGGGAAAGCTCTCTTCTTATAGCTTAGCAGGGAAGACAGGTTTCCGTTCTGGGCAAATGCAGCCCCCTCCCCAGGAAAGTGGAGATTTGAAATAGTTGCTTGGGCAATGTTGAGTGAGAACCCAACCGAGATTAATGATTATAAATGTATGAAGGTCCCAGCCTAGCTTGCTATCAAATTCCCGGCAGGAGTGCTCAACTACCTTAGGGGCAGGCAGAGGGAGAAGGTGAGTGGTCGAGATGGTCAGGGAGAGAGAGGGACTGTTGCCAGGCAGGCGTAAACAAAACATAGGAGCAAAGGATTTGGGGGTATATGTGGAGCTGACTATGGATCTTTTTGGCAGCGTGATCAAAGGTTCCAAGAACATTTTGGGTCCCGCTGCCAGTGGGCAGGTGGTGCTGATCACTTTGAAAGTGAGAGTCGTGAGAGTCAGAATCAGGCTGCTGGGGTTCAACTCCATGCCCTGAGTTTTCTTTTCTGTAAAATGTGACAATGGTAGTACCCACCTCACAGGGTGGTTGTGAGAATTAAATTAGTCTATACATTTAAAGTCTGGCATAAGTGAACCCTCAGAAAATTATTTCTCATCATACTGTTAGTATTGTTGTGAAGAAGACTCCGAATGACAAAGTTAGAGCTTTGTATAATAAAAATGTATATTTCTGGGTGCACTCAAGATCCTATGTTCTTTATACTCATCACAGTAGATGTCCATGGTTTTTAAATGCCACGAACAATCTGAACACCTTTCAGAACATCTGCGAGATGATAGGATGTGTCTCAGTATAATTATTTTACCCATAAGGAAGTGGAGGTTCGGAGGGTACATGACTAGTTGGTGGGCTCAGTTTAAGCCTGCGTCTCCGGCATGCTTCCCACCTAGCAGAGTTGCTTCTCCAGGAACGATGGGCAGTTAATTCTTGATTCCTACTCAGACATTTTCTTTTGCTTGAAATATCTTTGCTGTCTGACCCACCTAGTACAGGCCAGGCTAAAAGCTAACTAGTATTGTTCTGTGGGAATTGATGTCATTTTGGAGCTCCCCTTTTCCAAATGCTCTCGAAGGCAAGTTTTGTGCTCCTGTGTATTTTTCGTTAGAAAAAACTGGCAAGCCAGCTACTGACTATGGTAAACTACCCCAAGAAACAGAATCTCTTAACAGAGGGACAAGCTGTGTTTTTGCAAACCGAAATAAAAGACAAAAAGTAAGATGAATGCTTTTTAGTGGGTGTTTCCTTTGTGATGTCTCCCAAATATGGCATCTGAGCCACTCTTTCAAATAGGACCATATCTGGTGCATTATTTTAATTCACAAGTTTGTCTGGCACTAATGAGCCTCCACCTCCCTGTCACTTGTCACTGAGCTTCTGAAAAAATACTCCTACCATACCCTTTGGGTGACCTTTAATTGATTCTTCACTGTGATTTAGAGATAGCACACAATTCACAGGGCTGGAGTTTATAAGCAGGTGAACGGGAACGAATGGGGGAATAAATTTGAAGACGGGACAGGTTTAGAGAACAGTAAAGGGGGAAATCTTGCAAAGAAGACAGGATGATCTATTAGGTACTCGATTATCTTTGTGTTCAAGGTGGAGCTAGTTAGCTCTGAGCTACCATGGCATCTAATTCAATGGACTGAGAGTTAACAGATGTGGTTCGTGATGCACTGAGCTGACGTTTTACCGAAACGTCAAAATCAATATTATTAAAATGCCAAGATCAATTTTTATGCCAAGATTTTCCTGGAAAAAGAGAATTTAAGGTGGTAGCCTATACCTATATGGGCAAGTAGGCTGCTGACAGTGATAAACTATCTTAAGTGCAGACCCCTTTACACTTAACCCCTGTATGTATAATTGTAATTAAAAGGCAGTCAAGGGACTGCATCTAACTTTCTGGTCATGATTGGCAGAGATACCAAATAAATGTAATGTTTATAAATGTGTTTACTCCATGTGTGAAAGTTTCTAATCCTTGCATCATTCTGCTTATCTGTATCATGTGCCCATACATTTTTCTTCCCAAAATTCATGGATTCACCTCTCAGGCTTCATTCTCACAGAGTTGAATGTCTTATTCAGAGCTAGGTGGGTAAATTCTTAGGATATAAGACCAATAAACAGGATTCACAAGACAGGTGCCCTATTGCTGTTCCCTCCTATCCTAAAAAAAGCTGGGGGTAACTTACCCCTCCAGAGAACTATAGACAATATCTGAAATTGTTTGAACCTGTTTAAGCACAAAATTGTTTTAAGCTTTACAGTTTGTCTTTCACCAACAATATTTCCCATAAATAACCTTTTGAAGTTATTTGGAATGTATTTTATGGGCTATAAAAGTGTTTGTACATTGACTCAGTTCCCATTTCCCATCATGATCATTTTTCCTAGGAAAAGAAAGTAAATATCAATGTTTATGTATATATATGTGTGTGTGTGTGTATGTATATATATATATATATATATATATATGCAAGTATCTCATCATCGTGTGGTTTGCAAAAGTGAACAATTAGAAACAATCATATAGCAAACAAAAGGCAAATGGTTGAATAAATTATAGTACATCACTTTATCTAAAATTACAATAATAAGAACTAGGTAGCAGCATGTTGTGATGGTGCGTAGTGAAAAAAGCAGTTTAAAATTCTATCTCCATCATTATGGCAACTGTGTACAAATTTCATAAACAGAATCAGAGGCTGGAAAGCAACAAAAGGTTTTAGGGGATTTTCTTCCTGTTTGATTTCCATTTTGATGGGGGACAGGGATGGAAGTTGGAGTGATGGATGAGACTGCAGAGCTGGGCAGAGACCATCATTCATGAAAAGTGGGTTTTATGTTGTGCTTGAACTTCATCCAAAGAGTGACATGATCAGATTTGTGCTTTGCAAAGATCGGCTGCTGTTTGGGGAAGGAACTGGAGTGGAGCGAGAGTGACAGAAGACTGACCAGCTGCCAGGCTTGACCCAGGCAGTGCCTTTAGTCACAAGAAATACATACGGAGAGATGCGTGGCAGGGATGTTCGCTTTGCTAGCACCTGCCCTAAATTACTACCATTACACCTTAAGATTCTCAAAATAGGTTTCACATGTAAATTTCATTCTACATTCATCTCCATCTGTATGCGGATCTTTAAAATACATGCATTTGTGAAACCCATCTGCCTCGGGAATATTGGAATATCCTAGCTGAAAATACTGACAAATTTCTAATAATAAAATGAACAGGGGTGCCTGAGTGGCTCAGTCGGTTAAGCGTCTGCCTTCCGCTCAGGTCATGATCCCGGGGTCCTGGGATTGAGCCCCATGTTGGGCTCTCTGCTCAGCAGGGAGCCTGCTTCTCCCTCTGCCTGCCACTCCCCCTGCTTGTGTCGCTGTCTCTCTCTCTGTATGTCGAATAAATAACTAAAATATTAACACACAGTTACCACATTTCTAAGTTTGGTCCTAAAGTTAATTTATGCCCTGCCTGGTTCGAGAAAGAATTGAATGTATCCACTCTGGGGGTGACTCATCCTGACCATCTGATCCTGTCTTGCATCTCCCTTAGCCAGCATGTCGCAATGCTCTATAGCCAGTTGTCCTACCTTCCAGGTCCTGCCTTGCCATCACCCTGCACTCCTACTTCAGGTCCACTGGCCACCTCCCGGTCTCCTCGCCAATGGTATCACTTTAGTTTCCTAACTGATAACATAAAAAAGTGGGTTAGATATAGGCAGATTCAGTTTGTAATACATAAAGGGATATGCAAATGTTAATAGTTGCTATTTTTTTCAGCCTTAAGATTCAGTCATTCTGTAACTACTAAGACAGTTCATTTGAAAAGAGAAAACCGCATGCTGTTTTTCTTCCATTTTGTTCCCCTACCAATAAATCAGTGCATCATTTTGCATGAGCAATATAGGTTATTTTAACTAGTAAGAGGTGTGCTTTTTATTATTTTTTTTGAAGTTTTGTATATATGGTAACAAAGTCAATGGAGTGAAAATTGAATGATTTAAGAAAAGCAACATGAGGCTAAGTAAATAAAAGTGTATCTGTGGAAAATTAAACATAATTAACTACTTTATTTGCATAATGATGTCCCCTATCCACCACCTTGAAGAATAAATCCCTTTGTGCTTGAGAGATTAATTCCTTACTGAGAATGACTTTGGGACACTGTGGGGAGAAAACCAAGAGCTTCTATACCAGATATGTTGCCAGAGAGGGAAGGCTTCCCAGCCACACAAGTAGAGCAGAAACTTCGAAGAGATTAAGCAGGCAGATCCTTGGCCAGATGCCCACCCTCACAGAGGCCGAGTGCCAGCAGCTGGTTTTTCAGCCTGGAAACTGATGGGTAATTTCACCCTGGCCCTAACACTGCCTTTTCCCTTTCCCTATCACAGCCCACATCCTGTTACTGTAATGTACAGCAGGATTTCTTCTCAGCTGGAACTGAAATCAGTCAAACATCACTGTGCCTTTGTTTCCTAATGGCCAGCCAGACCCTGCCTGTGGAAGCAAGCCCTCACAAGCCAGGGTCCCCTCATGCTGCTTTGCTCATGTCAGCAAAGAAACACATCCCCACGATGCACTCTAACTTGAAGGGTGCTCATTTTCAGTGATTTCACCTTTGGGGGGCATCGTGAATCCCTTTGAGAATGTGTTGAAGACTTCGAGCCTTCTCCCCAGAGGAATAAGCTTCCATTTGAGAATTCGCCAACGAATTTAGATGGTTCAGGAACTAGCTAGTTTCCCGTCTTGGAGAGACACAGAGCCCATCTGAAGGACCCCTGATTTCTAATGTGCCTTGAATGTGTTGCCTTCAAATTCAGACGTAACTTTATTTTGCACCGAAGCCCCCAGCGCTACGGTTTTTCGTTTGCTACAGGTCCTTACCATGTAAATGCTACTTACCCCTGACTTTTTAAAAAAATTCTAGCTTGAAGAACTCATTTGGATACAGAAAAATAGTGTCTAATCCTACTAATACTAAGGTTTTGTGTTTCAGGTCTGACTACAGCCACATGTCCTCCACCAGCAGTAAGTATGGTTTAAATGTCCTTCGGCACTGGCTTCTCAATCCTGTCTATCTGGGGAACCCATGCTTTAATGGAAGAATCACCCAAGGAATACTTGCCAAAGTGTATGATGCTGGATTCTCTGACTCTGAAAGCTGGGGCTTTTCCTGGAGAATTTAACTGTCCCTTGATTTCAGAACTAGCTATGCCACTACTTTCCCTATGGAAATTGAGCCTAGAGGAACCAGCCCAGGCTTTGTTAGGGCAGATGCTTCTAAAACAGCTTCTCCGAATAATCCCAGGTAACTCATTCAATCACCAGACGTTTATCAAGTACCCGCTGCCTGTAGGCTAACAGCTCAGAACACATTCATTAGACCCCTGGGTGACCCAGCTCATCTGCTGGGCCAATGTCCTCCCTTGTATTTCTGCATCTGCAGGTGGATAGCATAGGCAGTTATCAATACGGTTTAAGAAAGGTGACTGGGAATATGTTCATAAACATACTGTAAGCATAGAAAAAGATGTCTGTATTAAATACTAATTGACAGGTAAATCTGTTCATGGGAAATTAGGCTTCATATCTAGGAACAATTCACAGTGTTTAAGATCACTGTGTGGGGCGCCTGGGTGGCTCAGTGGGTTAAAGCCTCTGCCTTCAGCTCAGGTCATGATCTCAGGGTCCTGGGATCGAGCCCCGCATCGGGCCCTCTGTTCAGAGGGGAGCCTGCCTCCTCCTCTCTCTCTCTGCCTGCCTCTCTGCCTACTTGTGATCTCTGTCTGTCAAGTAAAAAAATAAAATCTTTAAAAAAAAATCACTGTGTAAATGACCAAAGCCATTTGGATTAATTAAACACCTATTTTAAAATAACAAAAAAAACTTCTTCCAGTAAAAGCCCTGATTATTTGATTCAGTAGATACTGGTTTTTTTTTTTTCTATCTTCCCTGTTAAACTCTCAATTCTAAGTAGTACCCCAATGGAAAGACACTTAATTGGATTATTCTATTTATTGATGTTCTGGCTTAGTTTTCCTTTGCAATAAGAGACTGTGCAGAAAGCTGTATTTCTGGAATTGTAATTTAGTGTCAAATTATATTTAGTTATTAGTATAACTGCAGTGAGTAATCTCTGATCATTCTAGCCAACTGGAGACCCAACATTGCCCCTTAGTTATTAAGAACCATTAGTAATAATGAGAATAATGCTCCAGTGACTTGCATTCCCTCCCCGAAGCTTCTGCCTTCCTAAAAATCCAAGAAAGCTCTCTTGAACTCTCTCTCTGCTGCTATTTTCATTCCACTCAGTTTTGCCCAGAAGCTACATTTCTTTAAGAATGATTTTTTGTGAAATACTTGCCCAAAGCCTTTGTTCAATTTGTAGCTCTCACATCAGTCCTCTGGGTCACAACAAAGCATCTCTCTTGTCAGTGAAACTGGTAATTTGGTTTGGGAGGCTTTCCTCTCCATTATTTTAATTGCGATCTCAGAGTTGAAATTTCTCTTGGTGCAACTGGGATCAATAGCCTTTTATTGCTCTTCCTTTTCTCTTTAAATACTTGGTGATACCTGCATCAGTCTTCAGTGTTGGGACCTCTTGGTGAGGATGGGTATGTGTTTCATATTCTAGTTAGGAAATGTATTTGGCTATAAATAATAGAGGAAAAATAATGACTCAAGTCGGCATTTGTTTTCCTCTAACATTAAAAAAAAGAAGAAGAAGGCGGCCATGCAGGTCTGAAGTAGAAGCTCCTTTCATTGTTCTGCTTGGCTTTTGGCTTCTGTTCTTAGAGTTGCCTCAGAGTTACAAAACGGCTGCCTCGACCACAGGCAGCACGTCCTTGTTCTGGGCAGGAAGAAGGGTTGAGTGGGTACTGCTGGGCCCTTGGCTGTCTTTAGTCTAGTGTTTGCCTGGCCTGCTTCTCTTCTCTGCCAGGAGGATAAACACTGACCATACCCAGATGCAAGAGAAGGCCCCTTTAGCAGTTAGTAAAGATAACAGAGTGGACCCTTTCTGAAGAAGGGAAAAAAAAAGTCTGAAGTCTTCAATCTGTCCTTTAAAACATAGGTTTGACAGGCTACAATCATAAAGAGTTATTTTCCAAGTAGATTTTTAAAACCACATTTCCCCACAAACTGCACAATCACACTCAGAGGACTGAGTAGAGAGAAGGTTAAGAAGCTTTCTCTCCATCCTGAATAAGGCTGTTCCAGGGTCACTCTCCTTGTCACAACCCAGCTGTGCCAGCACCCACTATGTGACCAGCAGGAACCCACGGAGCTGACTGGTCCTAGTTCCTTCTTCTTGTGGGTCCTGTGAGCAGCTCCCGCCTCTCATTGTCATCCCCCCCCCCACCCCTCTCTGAATGGCTTGTTTCTGAATGCTTCCTGGTTGGCATCTTAGCATTGGTCCTATCTATTCGCTGTTAGGAAATGGATTTTTCTGTCTACTAGTGATTCCTGTTCAGCATTCCCATGATGCTCTTTTACCCGTTTGTGCCTGAGTTCACGGGGCCGTAAACACTTCCTTGGGTTGAGCCAGGGTTGGAGTCTGTCCACAGCTGGAGTTCATCACTGCTAGAGCTGACAGGAAAGCTTTCTCCCCAAGCAAGAGCTGCTCTTTAGGTTTCTTTTCCCTGAGAATGCAGGGACTGCTTCCTCATGCTGCCCACCCCTGATGGGAGAAGAAGGAAGGTCATCACCTAGAGAAAGTACAAGAGTTGAGGTGTAGGAGTTAGGTCCCCTAGGTCCTAGTCCTGGTATGGAGTCTGGGAGGCCATGGTGGTCCTTGGGCATTCTATTTTTCCTCGACCTCCTGGGTCCCAGAATCACATTCCCATTGGTTGTGTTTGATGTCACTTTCAACTCTAGGGGAAGTGGCTGAGGGGGCTTATTTAATGGATGGTTTTGTTCTATAAATTGGGTAAACGTAAATTTGGGTAAAATTTTTTTGTACTTGCCATGGGTCCCTTTGCCTTTTTGAGATTGACAGGGCTGACAGGCTTTCCTCTTATGTTTCCTGCAGAGCTAAACACACTGTTAACACTCAGATCTCAATAAATCATAATATTTCCTAAGAAAGATGAATTTAATTTATACTCTCGGAATTTTAGGTGGTTTTTCCAGAAACCTGGGTAGAAGATCATCAAGGCAATATGTACAATTTGCATTCTTAAGTGATTTAAATAAAAAGGAGAAATTTTATAAACAGGATCAAAGAAAAGCAGTAATCATGTCAAGGGGAAGAAGATCAAGTGTGCCACGTGATGATAAATTCCCCTCATGCATGATTGAATATTCTCATTCAAATGAAGATTATAATCATACCTGGAGAATTTCTCTTAGAAGATCCTGGGAGCTGAAAAATGATATTTTTAGGACAGTGTCATATTTCTTGAGGATCTCTATCCCCAAGATAATGCCAGTAGGAGGCAGGTCAAAGAATTAACTAGTTCTCTTTATTGGATACTGTTCCTCTATTTGCCCTCCTAATTTGTGCCTCAAAACTGTGCCTCCTCAAAACCCAGTACAGTCATTAACTCTCTACCTGGCCCTTACAGATGGCCAGTGGCAGCGGGGATGCCTTGCAGTTTTGTGCCCCTTCGTACTTTTTGAAATGCAGATAATCAAAGTGAGTCACAGTGATACAGGGGCCCTTGGCAATGCCCTGAGGAATTCCCCATATCTGAAATTATGGAGAAATGGCCATGACCGGTGTGTTCTACTGATTCAAGCCCAGGACCACATACCAAGCTGTGCAAAACAGGGACACCTCCCGGGTGGGTAGAAGTCATAGAATCTATTTTCCCACCCACCCAGGCCTCAGATTCCTGCCCTCCTATTGCTTCCCTGGCTTGCTTTTCCTAGCTTCCTGCTCTGTCCTTCCAGTGACTCGGGTAGCTTCCCCAAGTCCTGCCTGCATTCTCCTTGCTGCTTGGGCCAGGCTGTAGGGCCAGTGGAGTTCTGTCCCCTCCACTTTCTCGGGCCTGCCATGTCTCTGACCTGCCCTTGAGGGCAGCCCTGACCAGGCCCAGCTGATGCTGGGGGACCTTGGACATGTTCTCTTCTTGAGAGAAAGAGGCCAAGTGAATTGCAGGTGTTTTTCAAATAGGAAAGTCAGGTGTCTTAGTTAATTGCAAGCCCTTGTGACTGGTCTTGAGCCACCACAGGAGTTGGCGGGTCCTGCCTTACTGCTGTGTGGGACGACCTCTCATCCCTCCCCAAGCCTGCCTTGTCTCAGGTATATCTTTCCACATAAATGCCATCTTCTCCCCTTCATTTCTCCACAGTCTCATTTCCTTGAAGTTTTAGGGTATCAAAGCATTGTATGTTTTGAATTTTGTCTTTAGCCACATCTGTGCCTCCCCTCGGTGTGGAAGGAAAGGTAAGCTCCTTGTGAGCTTATTAATTATTATGTAATTAATAAACAAAGGTAAGACGCTTTGAAAGCAACCCATCGAAAAGACATGACCGCATTCCGTAGAACTCATCGCTGAGGGGGAACGTTTAAATAAAAATGACCCTTGTCTGTAGATCCAAGAGCTAAATTCAGATGGGATAGTGAAATAGTCATTATTTTCTTTCTGTTTTTGGGAAAGGAGATAACTTACTGACAGATTGACATTTTAAGGCCACTTGTCCAAATAAGGTAGGTCAATATCTTGGAAGAGGTGGTAGTAGCTAATTTAACATTGATCTGTTTGTAAATTTCATAGTCTTTTTTTTTTTCTTCTGTGCACAATACTTTCCCCATTATGATTTTCAGAGTAAATGTTCTTTTAGGGTCTTATGTCATAAGATCTAGGCAAAACCTGGATCTGTTCATTAACCCTTACAGAAAACAATTTAGCCATTGCATGTGTATAATTCTGTGACCAGTATGTAGTTGGCAATGGATGCAGGTTTGCAAAAGGACCAAAACACCCACCTATCCATCCCCAGCTTCCCACTCCTTTTGCAATTAAAACTTCACAAGAAACATCACCAGTTTTCTCTAATTTAGAGTTCAGCCTTTTAGGCAAAGT